AGCAACTTGTTCGGCCCAGGGGATGCTGGTAGGTCCGTCCAGTGATTAAGCCAGCCGTTCCATTGTATCGGAGTGCTCAAATTTGAAGGGTCTTGTAAGATATAGGACGCTTCTCATTGTGCTTCACTGGGCTTGGGTGCCTTCGTTGCTCAGCTAATCTGTGGTTGTCGATTTCTTTGATCGTGGGGTGTTGTCTCGGTTACCTGCAGAAGCTGAGACGTACACACACAGGGGTACGCAACACCGCGACTCTCCTACAGTAGCCAGATTTCATGGGGGAAACCAGATTTCATGGTCTATGGTAAAATGCCATGAATTTGGTAGGGCTCTACTCATACAGGTGGAGGTCCCTGTTCATTAAAGCACTTAAGTGAGTGTTCACATTCATCCCAATCCAGTTAAGTCTTTAAGCATGTGCTTAACTTTAAGTAAGCGCTTTATTCCCACGGACTATCTGATCTCTGGAACTATTTGAAACTATCCTGCAAAGTGCCTTATGATAAGAAAATGAACCCACTGGTAACACTGACCTATCCCTTAGCTGCTGCCCATTTTGATAGCGAGAGTTCCCACCTATTTGGTTTGCATATTTTGTCCTCGTAAGGATCCCAGAGGACTTTGCAGCTATTATGGACACATATTCTTTTCCCTACGACTATATCCCACCTGTTTCTACGAGGAGGACAGAAAGGCCGTTTTTTGCTAATATAGTGTTGTCAACTCCAAACATGCACAAATCATGAACCAGGCCCCCAGAATCATTAGATTGATTGGGGGAGGGGGAGAAAAACCTTGAGATTTTATATGAAGAGTAAATGTTTTGGTTTTTTATTTGCCTTTTGGGTGGTTGTTTTTTTTTCAACATTTAGACTACACTCCGGTTTCTTCGGAACCATGAGGGCTAGAAACATTGTTTTTTAAATGAAAGTTGAGAGTCTAATATCTTCAAATGCCTCCAGGAGTTGAGGCTTTAAGACAGCCTCCAAATATTGTGTAAACATAAGCACAAGGGATGGCCACACTGCTAAAGATATTGTCCAGCCAAATTTAGGAGGCAGGAGAAAGAAAAACAGCTGAGTATAAATTAGGGAGCTAGATGAATTTTTTTTATGTAGAACTTTATTGAAAACATACTGGGGCTAGTGCCCCTACCTCTGGAAGGAAAGTCTTTTAGGACTTCTACGGGTCAAAAATATTGAAGTCTCCTTTAAATGCCAGCCCCCCCAAATAGGACAGGGCCCTGTTGCCCATACTAGGACGGTGATTCAGCCTCCTGATTTTCCAGTACTGTTTCCTTCAAGCGAGCATCCTCTACAACCCTGCCAGGGTTATACCTAGAATAAAGGATGTGCCCGGATGAACACCCCATACACACCTCGGGCATTTCAACACCCCCTAGTACACTGATAGGCTCCTGATTCTATTGAACCTTCTATCTAGTCATCCACAGCCCTTCCTGTATCATTGATAGCCAGATGACATAAATATCTCATGGCAGTGTGGTGGCTTATGCTAAAAGGTTTGTAGGGGTTTGTTCTCAACTGGGCTCTTTCTGAGTCAAATCAGCAAAAATAGAATGGAGTGAAGGGTTTTCTCTTTTGCACTGCTGGATAAGGCCCCCTTTCTTCTCCTGAAGACTGAGCTAGCAAATGCAGGGCTTGGGGCATTGAGCGGTGGGGCTGTGGGGCTGAGCGGGGAACAGCACAGACAGAAGGACACAGAGAAGGAGCAAAGGAGCCCCAGATACAGCCAGAGAAGCAGTAGTAGTGTGACCCTGAGGAAAAAAACTAAGGCTGTAAGATTTTGGGTGAGCAAGTGTAACATTAATGTGAATTTTTTATGTCTGCTGTGCTGGGTGCTTGTATTAGTGACAACAACAATCCATCCTGCAGTTCAAACAAAAGCTGGTGGGGTTGGTGCTGGATTTTAGATCCTATGGGTGTTTTAGATCCTGGGGGAGTTCATTCCTCAGCACTGGATGGCTCCGGGAAAGCTCTGCCTCTGGCTCAGACGAGCCTGCCCCACCACCTCCTTCATTTGTCTCACTTCTTCAACAGTCACCCTGCGCAGCCAAGGACATTCTGCCATTCAGTCACCCCAGCTCAGGCCTGTGGATAACGCTGATGTTGCTAACTTCATATTCTGGGTTTAGTGTATGTGTCCTAAAGGGTCGCACACTAGGTTGCTGCTGTCGGGTGAACTTATTGCACACACCAGAGGATTCCCACATCCCTCCATTCCAACCCCCAACCTTCCTGTGCGCCACCGTCCCATGCCCCTCAATTGCAGGGGCTCTGTGTGCCCCCCAAACTCCCTCATCCTCCCATACTAGGGACCCCGTTTTCCCCTCCAATGCCAGCAGCATTGTGTGCCTCCCACTGCCCCCATACCAGGGGCTTTGTGTCCCCTATTCCTCACTCTCCCAATGCCTGGGTCCCCAATTCTCCCCCCATGGCAGGGGCTCTCAATGTGCTCCCATTCCCCTATTTCCCTCCCATACTAGGGTTCCCTAGTCTCCCCCCCACACACAAGGAGTTGTGTGTGCCCCTCATTAATCCCTCCCTCTATACCAGGGTCTCCCTTCTCTCTCAGGCCAGGAGCTCTGCCTCCCTCCCATTCCTACCTTCCCCCCCATGATGGGGGTTCTGTGTGTCCCCTTGCCCCACACCAGGTTCCCCCAATTTCATGCTGTCTGGAGTGGCTCACAACTGTGAGTGCCAATCTCAGGTCAGACTGTCAGAAAACAGGGCAGCCACCCCAAGCTGGTGGTGTGGTCTGTAATTAGATTTCACCAACCAGTAACAAATGTGAACTCCTGGATCACTGTTCCAGTCTTACCAGGGAGTCACAGACAGTCCACTTAAGCTCTCCAGCCCATCTTACCATGCAAATAAACTGGACTTAGTGATAATAGTCACATAAACCAAAAATCACATCATATCAGGTTGCTCCCAGTCCCAAGACACCAGTCACTTCCCCCTCATCGATTGGTACTCTGGATCTTACACCAAGGACAACAATGGTAGCCAATTGTATAGTTAACTCACTATAGGTTTATTAGCGGAGAAAAGACATGAGTGTTATTGAGGTTAAAGCAGGTAAAATACATTAACAGGTGAGTCAAAGTTTGTAAACCCAAAAGAATAGCAGAGACGTAGTAATCTGCCAGTTCAGGGCTACCCAGAATAACACTGGGGATCTCCGTCTTCTTGTTTAGTTATTGCACGGTGGTAGAATCGAAACAGTCCAGAGATAAAGGATCTTCCTTTGAATCAGTACTTATAGCTTCTTCTCCACACAACAGTCAGAGACATGTTCTTACTCACACAATGGCCAATTGCTTTGAATTTAGCACTCTTCATTTGCATTCAATGAGTTATTTAATTACAAGCTTAGACATAATATAACTGCCTGCCTTTCCATTATAATAAGAATAGATAAATGAAAACAATGCAAGTAACATTCCATTAGTTTGATGAAGTTCTAACATCTGAATATACTCTTAGATTAACACACACTTTGATCTAGATCTGTTTAATTACCAGGCATGCATAATGTAAATGTAATGTAATAGTAAACAACAAGATATAGTTGGCCAAAAACAATACAATTAACATCTCCTGTGATCTCTATTAACACACAAGTGAATTGGCTGAATATCTACTAATACATTTAACTCCTTCGATAGTCACACACAAGTGAATGGGCCTATGGCGCTGGTCTGAGCTGGTTTGCCAATGTCCCATCTGCCACCAGGAGTTATGTGAGCCCTTCACACCAGGGTCCCGCACTCTGCCCCCTTGCCCTGGGCTGTGTGCATGCCCCTGTTCCCCCATCTATACATCCCCATTCCCTCTTTCATCCCTCCTCCATATTGTTTTTTTTCTGGGACATCAGTCATTCAGGTGGCCCACGTCTTAAACTCCACTGGAAGGATGGGCAGAGCTGAGCTGGCGGTGTTGTTATGCTGAAGGCAGTAATTCAGCCATAAGCTGGTTCTTTGATCTATAGGCAACTGCAGAGGTGCTTGAAGATGTGGCTCTGCTAAATGGATGCCAGGAGCTTCATGTGTCCCCCATTTTGCCCGTTGTGGTTTACTGATTTCCTCTAAAATCAAAAGGGTTCTGGCCATTTCACTGCCTGGAATTTTGGAATTGATCAGATGAGGCACTGAAAAATTATCCCATTACGGACAGAGAGACAGACAGAGAAATGGCACCAAGCGGAGTGTAAGGGCGTTGCATGGCTGGCCCCAAAGTGACATTTCTAGGCTTTTTTTATCCCTTGGATGGGGCAGCATCCACCACTTCCCTTCCTCGCCCATCCCCCCATCCCCACAGCACCCCTATGCAGAGGGTGGCCGGCAATCACAGAGGGAGTAGCTAATAGCACCAGGGCTTCTCAGCCTTACTGCCCTGGGTGAGAGGGGTGTGCGGGGCAGAGCGCAGGGCAGATGGAAAGACTATTCTCAGGGATGGGATGCGTTTATGGGGATTCCTTTGAATCATCAGGGTCTGTTGGGTTTGCTGCGTGCATCCCTCCCTTCCCCATTATGTTATGCTGCAAACCTCCCTTGTTGTTGTTTCTGAAGTGCTTTTTCCCTTCCATGTGTTTTCCCATGGAAGGTGAGCATCAGGGCCAGGCTGTTTGGTGTCAGATTAGCCGCAAAAGTGCAGGTTATTTGTCCTAACCACTGCACCAGCAAAATGCAGTGGTGAGGACAAATTTGGGATTTTGGTCATTTGCTCCTTAAGACAAAGATGCAGAAACTCCACAGATGGGTCTTTCCCTCATCTTTAATTTTCCATAAATTCTATGTGATGTGAAATGTGAAAAAGCATTGCTTCTTTATCTGTTTGGAAGCTGCAACCTGTGTCTTATATTAAAAGAGAAACAACATTTCATATTTAGAAGATATGGGATTTTTTTCACATGCCACATTTAAAGAAAATTAACTTCTGTAACTTTCTGCTCACCACAGAATTTCTCAGCCTGTTTTTTTACTTAAATGTAAAGGCTTCCTTTAGGCTCTCCAGTGCCTGCTCTTTAGTTATTTTATACCAGTCACCAGGGAGATTGGCAGGGAGAGCATCAAATGCCTCAGCAAACTGGTGATTGAATTCCTTGAAAACAAACTTCCAGTAATCGGAAGCCGTGATGCTGGAATCTGGCTGGATGAGCCAGTCTGGAAAAAATTTGTGATAATCTTTATACGGATGAAACTCCCCTTTTGTCTCTGTACATCTGAATGTGTTATTGGAAGCCACAGAAGAGGAGCATATATCATAGGCAAGTATCCTTGTTTTATTCCACCGGCTGTCCCCTAATCCTCTAGGCCGATGCACTGCTGCATAATGCTTCTCATGAACTTCGGCTCCTGCATCACAGGGGACTTTACAGAACGGACACTGCTTCCCACAGCCAAACACTCGCTTGAAGATCTCATCCTGGGGCTTCACTGCAAGTTTTGAGAGTTTTGACTGAATTTCCAGATTTTCAAAAGTGGATAAAACTTGTTTTTCCAGATCAGGAATAAACTGTTCTATAAAAGCTGAAAATTGGTCTGCACGTGCTGTGTTTTTAAACAGTATCACTTCTAAGCTATCCCTGGGAATGACTAGATCCTGCTGCAGCTTTTCACAAAAGTTGTCTAAAAAGGCAGAGACTGTCTTAGTCTTCACACCTTTGGAGTTTTTCAGAACAACACTGAGTTTATTAATTATTGGGGAGAAAATCCTTTTCTCCAAATCTCCCAGACTTGCCGTCTCTTTGTAGAGTGTTAACAAGTGTCTCCGTATCCGGGTTTTGATAAAATATACATAACTCCTTGTGTATTGCACATAATTGTTAAAGTCATTTTCTTCCAACAGCTGCTTCAGAACAAAGAATTGGAAAAAGCTCCGGGTGCTGTACTCAACAGACCGTTCACTGCTAAGAACGTCGTCCACTATTTCTGTCCCAAGTCTCTTGTTCACATAGTCCACCAGGGCAGGTCTCAGACACTGATCACAGAAATTCCAGGCCCTGTCTTGACACTCATCCTTCTCTAAGTACAGAGCTATGAATGTGGAGCGATACTGAGGTTTCAGTTTCCCCAGACGCTGCAGAGGATCATTTTCTGTAATGAATTCTTCATGCATCTTCTGAAATGCACGAGCTGCATCCCCCAAAATGTGAAGCTTCAGGTCAACTTCAAAGCAAGCGGTGAGGTGAAGGTTTTGAACATTTGCCTGCTGAAGCTGCTCGTCAATCATCCGCAACAACTCTCTGCAATAAATTTCATCGTAATCTGCTTTGCCATTTACCTTTTCTTCAGTGTAACTATTGCACTTGTCTATTAAGGATTTAGCCAGAGCCTCTGTTTTATGCCAGCGTTCATGTCTAAAGTATTCTTTCATACTTAACATTCTGTAAACTTTGAAAAAGTCTGAGTATTCCTTTTTCATTTTGAAATTTTGTGTTTTATAAGCAGACAAGCTTTTGGCATCCTTTAACATCTGCCATACTGCACTCCCCTTATTCTCTAGGTCTCTTCTCAGATGGAGTTCCATATCTTCAAATATGTTGTGTTTCTGTAAAGTAATGAGTGATAATTCCAACAATGTTTCTGTCCACATCTTGTCAAATTCCTCCTCCAGTTTATCATTATTCAGTTTGCATTTGCTTTTCCTGCAATGGTTCAGAAGCCTGTCAACGTTCTCTTCAATTTTTCTCTTGTACTCTGACAGGATAGCGTCTGTTTTACGTTGGCCTTTTCTAATTTCAAACACTTCTTTCAACTTGCTGAATGAATAACTCTCCAGTTCATTCCTCAGACCATTTGCACTTCTCCTAAAATGTTCCCTGTACTGTTCTATCAGGTGTAGATTTGCTGCTCCACTTTCAAAATATTGTTTTAAATGATCCAAAATCTTCTCTGCTTCTTGCCTCAGTTTTTCCTGTGCCTCAGTCTTTAGTTTGGTTAAAACATTGGTGTCTAGTTTATCTGGTGGCTGATGTTGGATGAAAGTTTCCTTTTCAGATACCCAGAGGTGCATCATCTTGCAGAAACCCCATTCCCACTCTGCATATTTCACAGAGAGCTGGTCATAGGCTTCAGCAACGAGGCTGTTTCTAAAGCTGAAAATGAAGTTTTCATGTTTTACAGCATTCCACAGGCTCCTCACCCATTCAAGAAATTGGGGAATATCCTTGGGGGATCTGTTTTGTGAACAGCCTTTCAGAAATTCAAACAAATATTTCTTTAATTCATAAACCTTTTCACTGTATCCCATATTCACTGGAGACATGGGAGGGACTCCATGCCACAGAGCAGGAATGTACCAATTGTGTTTTTCCAGATCATAATCCATAATATCAGAAAATTTCATCTTCCTGCCTTTCTTTTCCATGTTTGCTGCAGCTTTGGTCATTTCATCCATCTGCTCCAGGAGGTGTTTCCTGTCCCTCATGTTTTGTTCGTGCGCAGACACATCACTGACATTCTGATGCACAAACTGGCAGTTGGGTTTGTGCCTGATTTCTTCCATTCTGAGAAAGGCATGAACCACAATTTGCAGAACATCCTTCATTTCGGTGGCGTTCTCCATGGCCATGTTAACGATGGTTATGTCACTCAGTCCAATCACCAGTGTGGCCAGCTCATTGTCATGTTGATAACTGTCCTCCAGCTTGGCCAGTTCAGGGGCTTTAAAGCCTTCTGTGTCTATCACCAGGATGAAATCACAGCCCAGCTCCTGCTGAAAGTTCTCTACCACTTTAATGAGGGACATGAAGGCTCCTCGCGTACATCGGCCACTGCTCACTGCAAACTGCAGGCCAAACATGGTGTTGAGGAGGGTGGATTTCCCAGTGCTCTGCCCTCCCAGCACCGTCAGAACCAACATTCTGGACTTTCCCCCCAGCTTGGCATGGAGCTGACTCAGAACATCTGTTACCCACTGCAGTGGGATGTTGGATACATCTCCATCGATCAGCTCCATGGGAAACCCTTCCAGCATCAGGTCAGCTGCTATGCCTGAGAGATGAAGAAATTGTCTTTGGCTTTCTGCTATTTTACCTTCCTTCACCATTGCGTGTTCAGCCTCATATAACTGCCCCAACTCACGCATAAAATGCTCCACCCCTAAGGAACTGGCAGAGATTAGTTTATCTACTTCTGCAAACATTTTGGGGTCGTCTTTTGAGTTTTTGCATTTCTCTTTATATTGATCCTGTAGTTTAGAAAGATTCTCCCGAGCAATGTGATCCAGGTCAAACTTCATCCATTTCAGGAAGTAATGTTTCTCCTCGGGAGGCAGTAGTCCTAGTCCAGTAATAAATGTAGTCAAACCATCAGTAAGGTCATGTGTATTCTGCTGAACACGTAAATCCATTAATTTCTCTTTCAGCTGAGATTTATATTTCTCAAGAGGGATGTCCCCTCGCTTTCTCATTTGGCACAGCTCCTTTTCCACTTCAGCCAAGTTTTTCCAGGTCTCCCCTTGGAGTCTCAGCTTTTCCCTCTTGTACTTTGCCACATCTTTTATGTGTACAGTGATTTCCTTGGCATATTCACTGGCTCTCTGACATTTCTTATTATCCTCATCTACCTGGATGCCTAATTGACGCGCTGTCTCAGCCATGGCTTCTATACTCACTCTCTTGGGAGAAGACGTCATTACAGCTGCTATTGCAGACTGCAGAACTTTTACATAAGCCGCCTGATTTGTGGCACGTCCTTTCTGCAGCACATGTGAGTTGTTCAGTTTCAGCCCTGGGGCCAACTTGTTCAGGAATGCCAGTGTTTCCTTGGATGTCGCAGCCTGATTATTAAAGATGAAGTAGTATTTAGTGGACGATTCCTGCAAAGATGATAACAGTGCATATTCTCTCTCACTGATGCTCTCTGTTAATATGAACACTGCTGAGGAGATCTCTGTTAAAAAACTGAACTGCAGCCAGTGGGTCTCAATGTCTCCGTGCAAGTTTGTAACCGCAAGGGGCTCTGGGAAAAGATCTGAATTCTCCCTCCCCCCAGGGAAATACCAGGAAATCTCAACCAGCCCATCTGCGATTTCCCGAGGGACGTTCCCAGACTCCATGTCCTGATGGATAAAGAAATCGTGGTGCTGCTGGGAGGGGCTGAGAACCTCATTGAGGAATTTGGACTTGGAGAAGCTGCAGCTGCCCAGCCGCACAAAGGAAATGGTTGGCATTTTGGTGAGCACCAGGCTCTCCTCTCTGAACCCTCTGCTGTCTGCCAGGGAGTGCGGCCTCCACTTCCTCACAATGTCCCTCATGGCCCACAGCATTAGAGTGCACCTGGGGGTGTCGAGGGCAGGTAGCAGCAGAGGGAGGGCAAACTGGCACATGGACATTTTGGACAGGATCTCCTGCTGTAGGAAACTGTCCGAGCAAAGCAGAACAGCACAGAGAACATCAAGGGGGTTCAGAGAATCACTGGTGTCTGTGTCACTGAGAAAAAAAAAATCTTCATGAATACCCAGCTCCTCTTTGTCCATAATGAGTGTTTGACCATCAGGTGCCCTGTGCTCAAGGCTTGTGTTTCTGGCCGTCCCATTCAGAGCCATGAGCTTCCTCAGGAAATGCCACGGTAAATCGTCTGTTGTCTGGGGACTCCAGTTGTTTACACTTTCTAGTGTGATTTCCAGGACATCTCTCAGCTTTAGTTTCCTGCTTCTATATTTCTGCATTTTTAGCTTTGACTCGATGTACGGACGGGCTTTTGGTCTCTCTGCAGAAAGGAGATACAAGGGGGAAAATTAATTAATTTTCAAACTGGACACCATCAAATTAGGCTTGAATAAAGACTGGGAGTGGATGGGTCATTACACAAACTAAAAACTATTTCCCCATGCTAATTTTCCCCCTACTGTTACTCACACTTTCGTGTCAACTGTTTGAAATGGGCCATCCTGATTATCACTACAAAAGTTTTTTCTCTTCTGCTGATAATAGCCCACCTTAATTGATTTGTCTCGTTAGAGTTGGTATGGCAACCCCCATCTTTTCATGTTCTCTGTATATATATATCTTCCTACTGTATTTTCCACTCCATGCATCTGGTGAAGTGGGTTTAGCCCATGAAAGCTTATGCCCAAATACATTTGTTAGTCTCTAAGGTGCCACAAGTACTCCTCGTTCTTATTGCAAATTTGACATGAGTAGTTTCAGCCATTCATAAAATGGCCAGAGGAGAAGAAGGAGATGGTGCTGCTGTTCCCTCCCCCCAGTCCTCTCATAACATGTAGCCCAGTGGATGTGGGAAAGCCAAGTTTGAAATCCTGCTGTGGAGCAGGCCCCAAATTAACTTTTATGAGTCACCAAATTTTTTTAAAAAAATTAGATTTAGTTTAATGCTAACCAAATTTTATTTAAAAAAAAATTTTTGGAACTGCCACCAAACCAAAAAAAAAAAAAATCAATAATTCATCCAACTGTGCTCATATGCAGTCCTTCAGGCAATGAGGAAATTCTTCCTTCTCCCCACCTCCCCTGTTTACTGCTCTGTCTGATGCTTTCCTTGCCCCCACTTTTCTTCTCTGTACATCACATTAGGGCAGAAAGTGAGGATGAATATATACTCAGCAGTCATGCTTCCTGGCCCAGAGTAGCAGTACATTCTACCCAGGAGACAGGACCACTAATGTCACAAAGGTTGAATGATGGCTAGAAATTGTAGCAACCAGCATAGAACTTAGAGGGAGGAGCACAAGTTGCAGGAGGGAAGAGTATGGAGGAGGCACCAGCAGGTCAGTCTGTGTGCACATGGCTAGAATGCTAAGCTCCAATTGCTGCAGCTCTGTAAATAGTCGCTTTAACATAGAACCAGTTTACTTTAATAAGATTGGATCCTTGCAGAAAAAAAAATCTATGGATGATACTGAAGCAAATTGAGAATGAACAGAGAAAGGCCTGCAATTTAAATAACACCAATATCCTGAAAAGTAAAGGTGTAGAGGCATTAGACGACAAAGCCTGTGAATATGCTGTTCAAACATTATGCCAAGATGAGTAGGCTCATATATGATGATGAGGATAGAACCATGGCAAAAACATGCAAGATGGAGTATTCAGGAGGAAAGACAAAGATAATTCAAAAACATGCACATAGATCTGAGTACCATGGCTTTAGAAAGATCTTCCTCATACATGAGCTAGAAGATGCAATAGAGAAGCTTATACCAAGCAAATCCTCTGGGTTGCAGTACATCTATGGCCATATGAAAGAGCACTTTGTGTAGAAGGCTAGAGCCAGGTTGTTGGACATCAGAAATTACTCAAGGATAAAAAGAAAGGTACCTAATTGGTGGAAATCAGCAGTTATTGTTCCTCTGAAGACTGGCAAGGATCCTTCTTTTTTCCAGGCAGCTACTGGCCTATGTCTTTAACCAGTCACCTTTGCAATATAAGGGAAAGAATGGTATAGTCAAGGCTTTTATGGTGTCTTCTAAAAGAAGACTTACAGGCCTTTGCACTCAATTATGGACCTGCTGGTGGCCTTCTGGCAGCCTCTTATTGGTGGCTTCCAGCAAAAGCCACCCCAATCATCAATGGGAGTCTTTTTTTTAAACTCAGCGCAGCATTTAATGGAGTCTGGCATGACAGGCTGTTAGTGAAACTCAGTGAGATGGAAATCTGTGGTAGAATGCACATCTGGAGAAGAGGTTTCCTACTGTACAGGAAAATAATAGTAAGATTAAATGGCACTCTTTCAAAGACAAGGTCACAGAGACAAGGCTTCCTCATGATAGCAGTTTTCAGGTATCTAAAAGGGTATCATAAGGAGGAGGGAGAAAACTTGTTCACCTTAGCCTCTAAGGATAGAACAAGAAGCAATGGGCTTAAACTGCAGCAAGGGAGGTTTAGGTTGGACATTAGGAAAAAGTTCCTAACTATCAGGTCGGTTAAGCATTGGAATAAACTACCTAGGGAGGTTGTGGAATCTCCATCTCTGGAGATATTTAAGAGTAGGTTAGATAAATGTCTATCAGGGATGGTCTAGACAGTATTTGGTCCTGCCATGCAGGCAGGGGACTGGACTCGATGACCTCTCAAGGTCCCTTCCAGTCCTACAGTCTATGAATCTATGAATCCTCTGTAGGCTTACCAAAACCTCTCACCCTGGTTCTCCCTCCCTGGATGGCTGACTTCTCTGGCAGTTCCTTGCCAGCCTGCTGAAGGGATCTCCTCTCTAGTCCTGCTGTCTCTCTGGCAGCCACCGTGCCCTCCTGCCTTACAGCCCTTTTACCCTTACAGCTGCTGCAAGGCCATCAATCAGCCCCAGCTGAGCAGGTAGTCAGTTCTCCATTAACCCTGTAATTGCCAAGCCAGCATGGAGTCTGTACATCCCATAACATTGACACACAAGAGTGCCACCCACTGCGGGGCAACAGGACACTGCAAGCCATGGGTCTAATCACAGGACAAGCACATAATATCCTCAAGGTGAGAGAGGAGGGAGAACAGTCAGCGTGTACCAGACTCTAAAGACATGTTCCAAGGAGATGGGCACCTGAAGGGCAGGCTGAAGTTAGAAAGAGACCCCCATATGCAGCCCAGGAGATTACTGAAGCGGAGTTCCAGTAGCCCTGGCAGAGCTGCTGAAGAAGGATTTAGCACACCTGCCAAAAAGAGGGATCATTACACTTGTTGAAACTAGTACAGACTGGCTCAACAGCCTTGTAATAGTTAGAAAATCTTCAGTTAAACCAAGGATTTGCACTTATTCCAACTGTAACCCACACACCTCCTGGGTGTGGTGTTCTGGCCCATCTAGTGGCACTGAGGCCACTTAGAGGAAGATTAATGAGTCTGCTAAAGTCTTAGCTAAGAGCCATGTGGCTTTTAGCTCATGCAGTAGAGGCTCATGCATTTAACTCCAGAGGTCCCAGGTTCGATCCTGCCTGTCGACGACTGGGGTCTGTCAGTGTTACACAATCACTCCCCATTATCAGTTACTGAGGTCATTTATTTACCCATGGCAGAAGTGTTCACTGTTTGATGTACAGAATGGGTTCTGCCATATGATATTGAGTTGGATGAGCCATCCAGACGCCAAACAACCTTCGCTAAACAGCAGCCAGGTGGAAGCAACTCGCCCACCAACAGCGACAACACAAACAAGAAATGGGAGATGTGTCTGAAGACCAGAACTTTTGAATAGAGCTGTGCAAAATATTTTCAGTGAATAGTAAATTCTCCCCAATATGCTTTTTTGGGACCACTGAAAGTATTCACAAATTTGGTTGAAATTCATTGGATAGTTTCAGCCAAAAAAGATAAGAAAAGAAAAAGAAAAAAGAATTGTGAGGACTAACCAGCTGCAATGCTAAGGTGATATGAACCAGGCACCTGTAACCTCTGGCCCCAGCTAGTAATGAAACTCTTCTGGAAAAGACAGAACCATAACAAAATAGTTGTTAAAAGTAAAGGTGTAGCAACGTGCATGGAACTTGGAGAGAGGGCAACGGGTTGCAGGAGTGCAGAGTTTGGAGTCATTCTACGTGCATGTGGCTAGATCACAGAGCTGCTCCTACTGCAGTTTAACAAACAGCTGCTTTAAAAAAGTGCCAGTAGAATTAACTCAGGCCATGTCCACACTAAGGGTGCTACGGACACTTCCTACAACAATGCAAGGGGGTTTTCGATTGATGTAGGTAACCCACCGCCCCGAGCAGTGGGAGCTTGGTTGACCTTGCCATGTCTGCATTGGGGGTTCGGTTGGCTTAACTACAACACTCGGGGGTGGGAATTTTTCACACACCAGAATGATGTAGCTAGGTTGATCTAAATTTTATGCGTAGACCCGTCTTGAGCGTAGAGTCTCCTTTTGCTATTATCCAGCACGCATCATATGAAACAGAAACAAATGTTTGTCTTAATGAAATTTTTGTGCGTGGTCTCCATTAGTGTTTATGATCATTTGTGTTTACTCAAATTAATTTGCAACTAATTAACTCCCATTACAACAAGAACAAAACATCTGCACAGGGCCCTAGGGTTGAACCCAGTCAGTTAGTACATTTTAAAAGGTGTAGAACTGCATCTACACAAAGTGGCAAATGGTGTTTCTAATGAGGTTTGCTAACTTTAGGTAGCTACCTTAGTTCGAACATACACATTTTTCTAAATCTAGACAAGGGTTAGGGCACAGTTCCCCTCCTGCTTTGCCCTCATTCTGTTGGGAGACAGTAATTTATGGCTGGCCTCTACCAGCAGCAAATTACCAGAACCCACGATAGCTCAGCTGTGCTGGCTGACATGTTCAGTGTGAGAGAGAACAGAGCCATGTCTCCAACCATTCCCCTCCCACCAGCTTTCATGGGCCAAATGTCTTTCCACCCCGAGTGAGTGGGAAGGCCAGGTGAAACTCTAGACCTTTATTTCCTCTTCTCAGTTTCTCTTTTTGTACCAGTCAGTGCAAATCACCAGTAGCCAGATTTTGCCACCTTATTCATGTTGAGTAGTTCCTCTCTGCTCACAGTTTCATTGAAATCAGTGGGACCATGTGAGGAGAAACGTATTACTTCCTGTGAGGAAAGGAATCAGAATCTGTCCCTAACTCTTCTGATGAAAGGATTACTCACCTTATGCGGTAACTGAGTTTCTTCGAGATGTGTGTCCCTGTGGGTGTTCCACTATAGGTGCGGTAATGTCCCTGCGCCTGGGATCTGAGAACTTCGGTAGCAGTGCCCCTTGGGCCACACATGTGCTCCACCCCATCTCACGCTGTGAGTGACTGCTATATAGCGCTGTGCAGTCCAACTGCCCTCAGTTCCTTCTCTATCTTAGAGTCCATGTTTGAATTCCAAAGCAGAGGGGAGAAGGGCAGGTGGTGAAGCTGGGGCTTCAGAGGAGTGGGGGTTCAGAATGACATTTATTAAGAAGGATAGGACAGTGCATCCTAGTAGGGCATCTGATGCCACGTTGTGGGTGATAGCGTGGTGTTGACTGAAGGTGTCTGTGGACACCCAGGTGTCCACCTTGCAAATGCCTGTAATCAGCACGTTATTTAGAAAAGCTATCGAGGTGGACAGTAAGTAAATGGAATGCATCCAAGTTCCAGGTGGGGACTGAAGTTTGTGTTGTCAGTAGCAAAGGTGGATACACTCCAAGATCCATTTTGAAACACATTGTTTGGATATGGCCGACCCCTTTGATCTATCAGCAATAGAGACGAATAAACGTGGTAACTGTCTGAATGATTTGGCTCTGTCAAGGTAAAAGGCTAGTGATTGTCTGATATCTGAGGTGTGTAGCGTGGCCTCATGCTGGTTGCCATGTGGTTTAGGGGAGAAGGAGAGAAGGTGGATAGGTTGATTTAGATGGAAAAAAGATGGTACCATGGGTAAGAACTTTGGGTATGATCATAACGTCACCTTATCTTTGTAAAAGATTGTGTACAGGGGTTACGCCAAGAGGACACCTATTTTCCTACCCATCAGGTGGATATGATGGCTGTGAGAAAACCATTTTCATGGATAGATGCATGTAGGAGCAGGTCACCATAAGTTCAAACTGAGGGCTGATAAGACAGCGTAAAACTAGACTGAAATCCCAAGGTGGGGTGGGGTCTCATACTTCAGGGTAAAGCTTTGAAGGCCCTTAAGGAATCTGTTTGTCATTGGGTGGGTAAATACCAAATGATCTTCTATCTTGGAGTGGAATGCAGTAATGGCAGCCAGATATACACGAACGGAGCTTGTGGGGAACCCTGATCTTTTTAGCTCTAGGATGTAATCCAGGATAAGTGGTAAAATAGCGCTAATTGCTAAGACATGTTTGATGTCGCACCAAGTCCAGAATCTTTTCCATTTATGTAGGTAAGTGTAGCATGTTGTCAAATGACTGCTATTTATAAGATTCTCTTTATGTTTTCTGAACAGATCCTGGAACCATGAAGGAGACATACCTCCAGATGGAGTCATTTTAGATTTGGATGGAGAATTTGACCTGCATCCTGTGAGAGGTGGTGTGGAGTCAACTGCAGGGTGATTGGTGGACAGACTGCCATGTATAAGAGGTAAGGATACCATACGTGTCGTGGCCATGTTGGGGCTATGAGAATGACTCTGGCTCATTCCACTTGTATCTTGTGAAACACTTTGAGTAGTAGGGGGAAGGGTGGAAAGGCACAGAGGAGAGGTGTATCCCATGTAATGAGGAGGGCGTCCCCCCAGAGATTGGTGACCCAGACCTGTTCTTGAGCAGATTTGTGGGCATTTGGAATTTTCGGGTGTGGCAAACAGATCTATGACCAGGAATCCCCAGTGGCCGAATATGTGCTGTAGGGGTCTTGTGTCTGTCTCCCACTTGTGTTCTTGTCAGAACCTCCTGCTCAGTGACTCTGCCGTGATGTTCTGGTGTCCAGGTAGGTTTGCGGCAGAGATATTGATGCTATGTTGGATGCACCAATTCCGCAATTTTAGTGCTTCTGTATGCAGGGATTAAGACCTCACTCTGTCCTGTCTGTTGATATGAAACACGCAGGCAGTGTTGTCTGTGATTACTCTTATAGCCTTTTGTCTGATTATTGGTATAATTTGTAGGCATGCATTGAGGACTGCATGTAATTCTAGGAGGTTGATGTGCAATGTGGATTCCGATGGGGCCCACTTGCCCTGTACTGTGTGGGTCTGTAGATGCGCTCCCCAACTGAGTAGGGAGGTGCTGATCTTCAGTATCAAGTATGGTGGTGGTTGGAGGAAGAGAACTCCCATGCAGACATTCTGGGATTGTGTCCACCAATCTAATGTGTCCTTGACTGTGAGTGGTAGCAAGGGAAGTTTATTGAGGCTGTGTCTGTGGGGTACATACACTGTGCATAGCCATTCCTGGAAGTGGTGAGTATGTAATCTGGCATGTTTTCTCATGAACATGGTCACTGCCATATGACCAAGCAACTGTAGACAAGTTCTGGCAGAGATCTATGGGCTAGTCTTCATAGTGGAGATGAGTGATTATTGCGGAAAAATCTGTGAGCTGGAAGGAAGGCTCTGGCCTCTCTTTGAACTAGTTTGGCTCCAATAAACTCCACTTGTTATGCTGGAGTCAGTGTTGTTTTTAGTATGTTTATCTGGAGGCAGAGTCTCAGAAAAAGTCCATTGTTTTTCTTATGGTTTCGAGCGTGTCAACTGTGGACGGCGCCTTGATGAGGCAGTAGTCTAGGTATGGGAATATTATAATCCCTTGTTTGCGGAGGTGTGTTGCCACCACTGCCATGTGTACTGTAGAGAGACCAAAGGGTAGTACCTTGTATTGATAATGGTCGGACCCCAGAAGAAATCTGAGGAACCTCCTGTGGGAAGGGTGTATGCTAATATGGAAGTATGCATCTTGGAGGTTGAGGGCCGAGAACCAATCTCCCTGTTGCATTGCTGGAATTGTTGTTGATAGTGTGACCATCTTGAACCGCTGTAGTTTGACAAACTTGTTGAGGTTCCGCAAGTCTAGAATAGACCTTCACCCACCGGATTCCATTTGGATTAGAAAATAGTGGGAATAAAAGCCTTTCCCTCTGTGCTGGAATGGGACCAGTTTCATGGCTCCCAGTCACAGAAGGTGGTTTATTTCTTCTCATAGAAGGTGCTTGTGAGAAGTGTCCCTCAAGAGGGAAAGCGGAGGGGAGGGTGGGCAGGAGAGAGAGGAACAGAATCGAATACCCTTTCTTGAGGGGAGGTGGCAGATTCCCCCAGCCATTGGATCGGGTTAGACCTTTCTCTGCTGGGAAGGGCAAAAGGAGCTGGGGAGCTCCAGCCTGGCAAACTCTCAGACTGAGGGCCTGGTACAGGGCCTCAAGGAGGTACTAGGACTGCATAGGTGTACGAAGAGACAGCCGGACCAATCCCCTTGCCGGACCAATCTTCAGGGGCAAACTGACAGTAATTGACCATTGGAACACTCTGAAATGGCCACTCCCAATGGCATGGGGAGGTGGCAGGGGGAGGCTTCTCTACACAAATTCAGACTGGCAGTGGGTCACTGAGGTGAGGTGGGCTTGGGGGGACTGGGGTTTCCCAGAGAGGGAACTCTCTGTTTTAGTGTATTTTAAAGAGCATCCTCCCAGGGGAGTTTTTAGTCTCCAAGGCCCAGGTAGAACCCGGCAGTAGAGCTGTGCGATTAATGGATTTTTTTGGTTCACTGGCAACTGAGAAATATTGGGGAAAAATCATTGTAGGTAGAACTGAAAATGACATTTGTCAGTGAGTTTGGTGAATCTAAAGTTAGGAAAGATTGTCTCAGGTCAAACAAAATGTTTTGTTCCACTTGAAATAAAATGTTGTGTTTAGATATCCAGCATTTTTTACCATTTTGAATTGTTTTTAATAAAATTGAAAAAATAAATAAAAGAAAAATCATCCAAATGAACAGTTTGGAAAAAGATCAACAAGCAGCTAGGGTATTCTGTGGCTGGGATAATCATTGCCAAAGGACCAGAGCCATTGGAAGGGGAGAGATGGGCTGTGGTATATAGGGATGCTGTGAAATTATTAAAAAAAAAAACCAAAGGAAATTAAATGTGAGAGAGCCAGACTGCACACCACAGTTTATCCCTTCTTCCTGCCCTCCAAATTCCCCTACCCCTTGTACCTTCTTGCCTTCCCCTGTGAACACACATCAAAATTCCCCCTATCTCTGGCACCTACCTTAACTTGTGCACACACTCCCCCCAAAATTCCTCCTCACTCAACACCTCCATACATTAGCCTGCACATACATTCACCGTAGTTCCCCCTTCCATCATGGTCCACCTGTTGTGCAGTTCTGGTGCAAGTACCAGCTTTGAAAAAGATATTTGGGATTAGTGGTCATTGTTTTTCATATCTGAAAGTTTCTCTGTCAGAAAGAATGTCCCCCTTCCAAAATGGCCATCATCTTCCACTCTTCTCTATAAGACTGAAGCCACGGCTGCCTTCAATGTAGATGGTGATCACCTATGTTGTGAGGGCACTGAGTCCTCTTGAGAACACAGAGAAAGAAACCTATCCAAAATAGCCAACAACTGAATGTAATTATGACTTCAGTCCCTTGGAGAACAATGGAAGAGGGTGGCCATTTTGGAAGAGGAAAATTCTCAGTGGAGAATTCCATTCTCAGTGGAATTCTCCAAAGTAAGCTATTATACCCTTCAGTCTTTGCTTAGCAAGAACAATTTTCATTATGAAGAATAATTGGGGGGGACCTACCATTCATACTAAAAACATATTCAAATATACCCCAGGAACAAGAGTCTACTGAGTATTAATTATATGGGAATATGAAGAGTCTGTGCTATTCTGCTACTGTGATCATTGGGGGCAAAAAGGGTCTACTTTTCAGTGCTAAATTACTAAAAGGGCTTGATTTTATTTAATTTTAATTCCTAAGCTAATGAACAGTACCCAATGAGGAGAAAAATCAAATGCTTCTTCATCATGGATTGGCACTTAGTGGTATGAGAAGAGAAATTGAGAGAGGAGAAAGTTATTGTAAATCAAATAATATTATATTTTATTGCTTAAAAGTATCAAAGTTAAGTTATAGACAGTTAATGCCACATTATAAGAAGTACTACCTGTACAGAATTCTCTCTTCCAAGGCTCTGAATCTTGCTGAGTTGCTGATTCCTGCTCCAGAGTTAAACCATCCTTCTCCCCTGGCGCTGGGGCTTGTTGAGTCTCTCGTTTCTGCTCCTGATTTACACCAACTTTCACCCCCAACTTTGGGGCTTGTGGTGTCTTTGATTCCTGCCCCTCATTTACACCATCTAGCAAGAAAAACAGAGAGGAAAGAATCCATTTTTAGTTGATGTAGGCATATTTATCTTCCTCCTGCTGTGTGAGAATGTCAATGCAGAAGTATTTCGTCAGATAATTTGACAAAAAACCAGACTATTGTGTGGAGGCCCAAGCTGTCTGCAGAAGATTCTGTATATTCTTCAACCAGATATAAGAGCACAGGAAATGCAGTTTAGTTCTCCAGGCAGTTAACAAACATCAGACAATGTTAAAACATATTCACAGTGGCCAAACTGTCAGATTCAGTTGCATGCATATATTCTCACATATAACAACTACAGCTGATGAATAGTAAGTATGCCGAAAAATGCATTTTCAGGGCAGTGAAGCTATTTGTGAATTTGGGTAGAATTTTGCACATTGTTTTGGACCAAAAAATGGTCAGAAATGTCAAAACAAAATATTTAGACTTTTTGTTTCAAAAAGGGGATTTGTTTTGAAATTTAGCTAATTCTTTAATGTGTGTAAAACACCTGAAAAATTATGCAAAATTAAACAAAACACTTCGTTTTGGGTCAAATTACATGTTTTGTCATTTTGGTTTTTGTTTTGGCATGGAAAATACAGAAAAGATTTGGTTTGAACTCTTGGCTGGCTCAGCTCTAATGCCCACTCTGCCAGAGGCTGCTCAAAACAATCTGCTGCCCTAGGCAAAACTTCAGTGTGCCACTCCCCTCTGTCCTCCTAGAAGAGAAGTTCTCAACTGGAGGGGGGCTTAATCCCCTGGGAGCTGTGTTTGCCCTTCTGGGGAGGAGGGGCACATTGAGCCTTCTGATGGTTCAGTGGTTATGGTAGAAGTTTGGGGACCAAGTGTGAGATCACAGTGCCACTCAGTCAGGTTTGGCCTGGCCTCCTCAGCATCGTGACACGGGGCAGCCAGGCCAAATCTGAGTGAGTGGCATTGCAAACTGGCATGCAGGGTCACAGCACCACTCAGGTCTGGCCTGGCTGCCCCTGCCATCCTAGGCAGAATCTACTGCCACAGTCATCTGTCGCCTTGTTTGCCATAGCTAGGCTGACCTCTGAAATCTGCATTAACCAGCCAATCCTGTCCCATCCCAGCCACTCTCAAAGCACCAATACCCTTTCTTCACCACCCTGAACATCTGGAGAATGGTCTAGTGGTCGGAGCATGGGGAGTTGGGAACCAAGATTCCTGGGATCAATTCCCATCACTAGGAGAGGAGTGTGGTCTAGTGCTTAGAACAGGGCTCTGAGGGTTAGGACTTCTATGTTTTACTTCCCCTGGCTATCCTACTGACTAGCTTTTTAATCTTGGGCATATTACTACCACTCCCCATGCCTCAGTCTCCTTCCCTATTATATGGGAAATAATGATACTGACTCACCTCACAGATTCTACAGGGCTGCAGGAATTCCCTCATATGTAAAGCCCCTCATCCAAAGACCACTGCAGTCAATGGAGCTACACCAGTTTTAATCATCTGCAGATCTTTTTGTGTCTACTTCTGTTCTATGGGCAAATGTCTGTCATAACGGTGCTATAGAGTGTGCCACTAGCTCACCATTTTACATATGAGCAAAGAAGCCAAAGGATAACCGTCTGGGAATTCTATGTTTTAATTTTATTGTTGTCGTCCATTTAAATTCTCAGCCATAACTTTGCATTAACATACGTTTTACCATTAAACATGTACCTGTTTGGAAAGGTGTCCTTGATCAGTGTTGCAACTATTACATTTTTTCCTCTTGAAAGACAAAAAAACCACAAACAAACATAAAAAAAACCAACCACCTACCACATTTAGGGTGTTGTAAATCTTGAATTGTGCCTGGAAACATAGTGTCTAAACACTCCAGAAATTGCAGACAGGCAAGTTCCCCCTTCCTCTATTTGAATTAGCGATTTTCTAATTTTAGTCTCTGTATCTGCTATTCTATTAATATTGTCATAGTCCTCATCTCAGGGAGAGGAGTTGGTGATTGTGGTACACATAAGGAGAGGTAGGAGAGAGGATCTGGAGGACAAATTAGGCTGCTAAGGAAGAGATTAATGTCCAGGACCTCTATGGTAGCATTCTTTGATATGCTTCCAGTTCCACACACAAGGCCAGTTAGACAGGCAGAATTGCAGGCTCTCAATGCGTGGGTGAGACGATGGTGTAGGGAGGAGGGGTTTAGGTTTATTAGGGACCGAGGAACCTTTTGGGAAAGGAGGAGCCTGTACAGGAAGGATGGGCTCCACCTAAACCAAAATGGAACCAGATTGCTGGCATGTAAAATTTAAAACGTCGTAGGGGAGTTTTTAAACTGAGGCTTGGGGGAAAGCCGGCAGGTGCGGAGGAGCACCCAGTTTGGACAGAGATATCCCATAGGGGAGGATCTATTACTATATCCTAGTAAAGAGGAGAGGATAGAAGTTAATAAAGTATAAACAATCAAATGAAAGAGTCAGCTGCCCCAGGCCCCTGATCCCACTGGGCCGGCCAGGAGCCCCACCCCTGCCCCTGCTGCACTGGGTGGCAGGGCAGCCCAGACCCCTCCATGCTGGGCAGTCAGGAACCTGGGACCCCGGCATGTGGGCCAGCCTTTAGCACACAATTGAGCTGGTCCGCAGCTGTGTGCTAATAGGGCCACATGCAGGCTGCGGGTTGAGAACCGCTGGTGTAGCTTCAACTTCCAGCCACTGGGTCATGTTATATCTTTCTCTGATAGACTGAAGAGTCCATTATTAAATATTTGTTCCCCCACCCAATAGGTACTTATAAACTGTAATCCAGTCACCCCTTAACCTTCTCTTTGTTAAACTAAAGAGATTGAGCTCCTTGAGTCTATCACTAAAAGGCATGTTTTTAATCCTTTAATCGTTCTTGTGACTCTTCTCTGACCCCTCTCCAATTTATCAACATCCTTCTCGAATAGTGGGCACCAGAACTGGACACAGGATTCCAGCAGCACCCACCCCAGTGCCGAATACAGAGGTAAATTAATCTCTGTACTCCTACTCAATATTCCGTGCACCAGGATCATATTACCCATTTTGACCACAGCTTCACACTGGGAATTCGTATTCAGGTGATTATCCGCCATGCCTCACAAATCTTTTTCAGGGTCACTACTTCCCTGGATAGAGTCTTCCCATCCTGTAATTACGGCCTACATTCTTTGTTCCTAGATCTACACTTTACATTTTGCCGTATTAAAACACATATTGTTTGCTTGTGCCCAGTTTCCCAAGCAACCCAGATTGCTCTGAATCAGTGACCTGTCCTTGTCATTATTTACCAGTCCCCAATTTTTGTCATCTGCAAACTTTATCAGTGATGATTTTATGTTTTTTTCTAGTTCATGAATAAAATATTAAATAGAGTGGGGACAAGAACCAATCCCTGTGGTATCCTGTTGGAAATACATCCACTCAATGCTGATTACCCACTCACGATTACATTTTGAGACCTGTTTTTAATCCATTTAATATGTGCCTTGTTAATTTTATGTTTTAGGGTTGGGGGGGGGCGGATAGCTCAGTGGTTTGAGCATTGGCCTCCTAAACCCACGGTTGTGAGTTCAATCCTTGAAGGGGCCACTTGGGGCAAAATCAGTACTTGGTCCTGCTAGTGAAGGCAGGGGGCTGGACTTGATGACCTTTCAGGGTCCCTTCCAGCTCTATGAGATAGGTATATCTCCATATATTATTATTAATCAAAATATCATGTGGTACCAAGTCAAACGCCTCACAGAGGTTTATCATGCCAGCACTATTACATTTATCAACCAAACATGCAATTGCATCCAAAAAATGATATCAAGCTACTTTGATAGGATCTATTTTCCATAAACCCATGTTGATTTGTGTTAATTACATTACCCCCTTTTAATTCTTTATGAATCGACTTCCATATTATCTGCTCCATCATCTGCTTTTTAAAGGGTAACTGTGATCCTAAGAGTCCCTCAATAATAATTTGGCAAAAATATTTGCTCACAAATGGATGACAGGAGAGGTCCCAGAAGATTGGAGAAGGACTAATGTAGTGCCCATCTTTAAAAGGGGGAAAAAGGAGGAGCTGCCTAAGTCCTGATACCTAGCTCATGTGTAAGCCCCAGTGTGTTCTCAAATTAGGCATCCCCCGTGCCTAGCTCATCTGCAGAGACCTGATCCAGTAGTTCTGCTCAGAGGTCGCCTTGGAGTGTGGCTACTGGGCTGGGCTCTTCCACCCCAAAACACAGCTAGAGGAACTGATGGTGGCCCCTCTCCTTGTAACAATAGCCCAGTGGACAGAGTACTCCCCCAGGATGTGGGCACGCGGGGTCCACTCCTAAATCTGTCTGAGTCAGAGCAGGGACTTGAATCTAGGTCTCCCACCTCCCAGGTGAGTACCCTGGGCCATGGGGTATTCGGGTGCGGGTCTCTGTCTCTCTTAGCAAAGCTGTTTCACTTTGTATACAATAATTTATTGTCCTTGGGTCAAAAAGAAAATGACTCTATGGTCTAGTAATTAGGGCACTCACCTGCGAGATGGGAGACTCAGCTTCTAATCCCTGGTACTGTATATAAATACATGAATACTCAGAGGAAAACAGTTTCAGCAGGAGAGATGGAGGGAAACCCACACCAGAATACCCCATAACTCAGTGGCTAGGGCTCTCACAGGGAAAGTAGTAATCTGGGCACTTAACTCCTCAGCAACTAGGGAACAGCTGGTGAATATTTTTAACTTGTCTCAAATTGGCTAATACTTTATAATGTTTTTAATAAAGGAAGAAGACAGGGCTGTCAGAGAAAATACCTGAGCAAAGTTTCTTCTTCCCTGAGACTGTGGCATGCTGAGTTTCTGGTTCCTGGTTCCTTTTTAAAGCAGCTAGCAAGAAAACCAGAGAAAACACATGATCAGTGTCTAATTTGTAATGATATTAGTTCACTTTCTCAATTGCAACAGGTCTATTGATTTCAGTGCACTTCCCATATTTCCCACAATTTTGAAAGGGAAAAATCTGCAAAAAAGCACAGGTGAGTTCCTATTTTCCCCTTTAAGGCACTTCCTCACATTGCAGAGCTCTTAGAGATCTAAGGATTCAAAGTTCTATATAAATTGTTCCTACAACTCACCAGCGCTGAGGGCACTGTCATAGCTCTAACACTACCAGGGAGGTGACGTATCTCTCTGACCCACCGAGTTAGGGTCCATTGCTGCAAGGGCAGGGCTTGGTTGGGTGAGAGTCAGTCAGGGGAGACAGGACAGCAGGGATTGGCTGGATAGGGTGTCTTCAGGAAGGAAATCAAATCTGTACCTTCATCACACCCACTCCCTTTTGTGTATGCTGGGAATGTGAGCTAAGTGGGTAATAAAATACTGATTTTATTATTGCCTACATTGGCCGTTCTGTCTAGCTCTGAAGGACCATGAAAGCACTGAAGAATTAATGAGAGTTGTCTAGATAAACCAGTTTTGATAAACCATTACTTTCATGCATGTGAACGCGGGGATGCCAACATGAGATGGCAAGACAGGGCCATAAACATGGCCCCAAATCAGGATTTTATAGAACTCTAACCCATCCACGTCTCCCTCTCTTGTTATTATGGAACCCTGGTGGTTGTTGCTCCATAGTTAAGGTAACATTATGAAAATGGGCTTTAAAATGGGGAATAAATTTCTCTCTAAATGTAGGTGGCCCTTAGTGTAAAATCTCACAGAGTGTTAGTTTTTTATGCCCTTTGAATTTTCTGTGTGTTTTTTGTTTGATTTCTTTTAATAAACGTAATAGGAAGGATTTGAAAATTTAGTCTATGACTGAAATTTGTAGCAGTTAGACTTGTTTTGTCAAATATCTTTTTAAAAAGATTGTCTAACTACACACACATTGTAGAGAGATTAACCTTGAGTAGATCTGGTGCAGTGAGTACAATTTTGCTTTTTAAATTAAGGTCTCTTTTAGCCATTGTGCATCATATCTGAAAGTATAAGTGCCAGTGGGTAGCCAACAGATAAAGCCTTTTATGTCATATGGACAAAACCTTCTGTCACTAGCTACACTCTTAAGCTTTCTATGCAGCTCCTGACAGAGAAGGTTTAATTTGCCAGACATGTGCAGCAGCTGATGGATAAAATCATCTCCACTACAAGTGCAGTTCTGTGATACAGCTCTGAACAACTCCTACCGTGGTCAGCTCCCCTCACTAAAATATTGACCCCCTAGGTAATGAATACACAAAAGGCGTTGATGTAAAACAACAAAGGTTATGACACACAAACATAACAGATCTTACACAAAGCAAGGAAATGAAAAGTCAAGTCACCTCACAGGACATGACCCTTTCTTCCTCTCCCACAGTGCGCACTTTGCCATTGTCACAACTACTGTACATCACAATCCCATCACCATTCACAATTAGCTGCTCTATGAATTTGATAGAACCTGTCTCCATCTAGAGCCACAGAAACATATCTCAGTTTCACCCTTTAGACCCTTTCTCAGTACCTGTAAATTTCTTCAGAATCTCCTCTGGAACAATACCAAGTTGGTGCAAAGTACTTAGTTTCTCTTCCAGTTCAGGTGAAATCTCCACCGGTGGCCGATCTTTCACCTGCTTGCATCTAGAGAGCAACATTATTGTGTGTGATAATTTATTATTTCATACTAGTGAAAGTTGTTGGACAAAAGAGACCCAATGCTTTAGTTTATCGCTATCTCAAACCAGGTATGGCATATTCTATGGCACTGCAAGATTTCTACCCAGCTTTGCCAATGGCCTATTAATATAATTGAACCGTGAACTGCAAAGACCAGCTCTCAGCTACAAAGGGATTTCAGTCTCCACTCCTTTGCCCCCATGCTTTGATAGTCAATATTTTTCCAACATTTCTGGAGGCAGAGCCGGCTCTAAACTTTTTGGCTGCCCCAAGCAAAAAAAAAGAGTGCCGCCCTCCATAGCGCCGCCGTAACACACACCCTCAGCACCGCAACACCACCCCCCATTCCTCCGCGGAGCGTGGCGCCGCCGATCCCCCCCACCCCCCCACAGGGCGCCGCGCCACCGTTCCCCCCCTCCAAACCCCACAGCCCCCCGCGGAGCGCC